ATATCAGTGAAACAATGTTAAAAAAATAGAGGTTCCTCGTTTATGTAGTCATATTAAAATTAACTTGTGTATTAGTAAAGTGTTTATAGATCAATCTTGGGATAGTTTATATGCTTAAGCGTCTTCAATCTTTAATGTGGTTCACTCTACTATTGAACCTGTATTCTATTATCAGGTCAAATGAATTCTAGAGTGGGATCTTGCCAATGAACATGAATTGAAAGATTTAAATGTAAATCACATGTGGGATCTTGTAAAGTTATCAAAAGGAAAAAAGAACTATTGCATGTCGTTGGATATATAAAGTAAAATATAAAGTTGATGATTCAATAGAACAATATAAAGCATGTATTGTGGCCAAGGGATTTACTCTGAGGTATTGACTACCATAAAACATTCTCACCAATAGTTAAATTTACTACCATTCAAAGTATTATTGCAATTGCAGTTAAAAATCACTGGGATATACATCAATTCGATGTCAATAACACATTCTTGCATGCAGAATTACTTGAAGATGTACATGAGATTTCCACCATGTCATCCTACATCATCTCAAGCTTTGTTTGTAAGCTCAACAAGTCTCTTTATAGATTAAAAAAAAGCCTCCAGACAATGATACTCCAAGTTATCCATTGATTTACATCATCAAGGATACACTCATTCACCTAATAACCATTCCTTATTTCTAAAAGAAGACTAGCACCTTCATAACCATTATAGCCATCTATGTGGATGATGTGTTAGTCACTGGAAATAATGTTGATGAAGTTACCAACTTGAAGAATTTTTTACATGATAAATTTCAAATCAAAGACTTGGGATTACTTCATTTCTTTATAGGTATTGTGTTTAATAGGATTCCAGGAGGAATGGTAGTTCTTCAAAGTAAATACATCAAAGAATTGTTACAATCTTATGATGTTCATAATTCATCATCAATTATAACCGCTCCTTTTCCTTTTCAACTAAAACTTCTTCCAGACATGGAGGATCCTTTACCTGATGCAACAGTGTATAGAAAACTCATTGGCAAGCTTAATTTTCTACTTCACACTATGCTTGATCTTTCATTCTCAGTTCAATACTTAAGTCAATTCAACAAGACTCCATCTCAGGCTCATTACAAGGCATCATTACATGTTTTACAATATCTAAAAGGAACTACTCATCAACCTTTACATTTGAATAATACATCACAATTTAAACTTGAGGCATGCATATTGTGATTCAGATTTGGCATCTTGTCCACAATTTAAACTTGAGGCATGCATATTATATCACTTTTGGTGGAACTCCTATCTCATGGAAGTCAAAGAAGGAAGTGTTTGTCTCTCTTTGTTCTGTAGAAGTTGAATATCGATCAATGAGAAGGGTTTGTATTGAGTTAGCATGGTTGAGTAGACTGTTTGGAGAGCTGAATGTGCCTAATATTACTCTTGTTCCATTGAAACGTGACAATATGGAATCCATTTATATTGCTTCTAATCATGTTTTCCATGAGATGAAGAAGCACATAGAACTAGATTGTCATTTTGTGCGAGAACAAGTACAAGATGGTGTTATTAATCTCTCACATGTATCTATTATTAATAAAAAAGCCAACATCTTCATGGATCAAGACTTACAAATGCAGTTTCCAAGCTTGGTGCTTTTTAATGCCCTCCAGCTTGAAGGGGGTGTTAGCTAAATTATAATTTTATAATTATTTCAGTTTGTTGTAGTTTGTTAGCATCAGGTGTAGTTTATTAATGTTACATCACTAGTTAGTTATTTTAGTTACTTCTTTTTTCCTCTTGTATATAACTGAATTCAAGATGTTTTGAATAACAAGATATGAAATTTTGGAAACACTTTCTCTCATTACAACAATATCAACACATATACATTATATCTATGGATGGAGGACAATCAAACAACCGTCTGATCTATGCAACCTTCAATCTTAACTCTTTAAAGTCTCTATTTACGATTTTCTCCTGATCAATCTTTGGAATCTCCCACGGCCTCCTCTCCACGCTGCTCAACCTTTCCTTAACTTCCCTGTAACCATCTCCCTCCATTAGCATATCTATGGTCGGAAAACTTCCTACAATCAAGCCAGAGTTTGGAGGGGCCATGCATCTCAGTTTCATTTTTCACCTCAAATATCGTGCAAGAAAATCTTCAATCCTCCGTCGACGCATGCAATGTAATAAGTTACTGATGCCATATTAAACCTATAAGAATGCAATTTATTCAATCAAATGATGTGATACAACCGATTTAAATATACCCATTTGGTCGTGAAAGAAAGTTTTTATTAGCACAAATTAGACCATAAACACTTGATTTTGATTTCAATTATTAGTGTGACCTTCCATACATATAAAACTAGTTGTTATGCTTGCATGACATCTAGATGTATAAAAACTGGTTTGACTTGTTATGGCATTATAAAAACGAAATCAAAATCATAAACACATTTTATTTTTGGGATTTTAACTAAACTAACCATTAGTAACAATGTTGGTAATAAAAATGACCAACCTTTTTATGTCACATTAAATACTACTTATTTTGATGAAAAAAATATATATATTCAAGGTTATTCTGGATTCCAGAACTTTCTGGATTACATTCGGACGAAAATGGAAAAAACATAATCCATAAATAGTTGTGATACATATGTACTACACAGATTTATTAAAAATAAATAAATAAATATGAAACTCTAAATGTTTAAGAAATTTGAATTTATAATGAAAGTAAAATTAAAATCCATTTATTATAATATATATTACAGTTATTACATTTAAATATTCTGTCCAATTTAATAAAATGGGAAAAAAAACCATAAAATGACATATGGACAAAATTTAATTTAAAATAATCACAAAATAACATGTGACAAAATGAATGAAAGTGTGACATGTAACAAAAAAAATATTTTTATTTATTAGAGTAGATTTCAAAACAAGTCCAAAATCAGATGAATTTTTTTTAAATTTTCAAGCAAATGTTTTGTATTTTACTCAAACCTAACAAAATTGTAAAGAAACGTAGTTAATGAGAAGTAGATAGGTAAAATATGATTTAAAATGTAACATTCGATTGAAAAAATGATATTAGAGACTTCAAAACAACAATTTCAAATATGAATAGAGAAGGTTTTTTTGAAAATTTTTTGATACAAATTAATAATAAGAAAAAAAAAATAAACATTATATAAAACACAAAAAACTTGATCACATTTTTTATTGGCAATCTCATTATAATATACTTTGGTTGATAACCCTTGATTTTTTTAGAAATTTCACTTTGAGTAATTCAAAATAAGGTGATTCATCAGTTTATGGCTATCTCTATTGGTATATATTGCTATAATAGAATAATGGGATAATTACATATAAATAAATAAAAAAAATATTGCATCATCACGATATATGTATATTATATTATAAAGCATATTAGTCATATCTTGAATTTTAAGATATATAAGTTACAAAATTTTTTATACAAATCAATTATGCATAAATAATCATTAATACTTGCCAAAAGTTTGAATACTTAAATTATGGAAGATTATTAAGAAATTAAATTTGGAGCAAAATAAAATTTTAAACTATTAAATTTATGTGTATAAATTTATTTATATTTTTTTAAACTAGCCACCGATATAAATTAATTTACATCAGTAGTATAAACAAACAATATAAATATATTTTTCAAAAGTGATAATTTTTTTTATTACATACTAACTAATAATAATATCTAACAACTATTTCTGTGTAAGAAACTATTTATCAAAAGAATTATTTATCGTTGCCGCTTTGCACGGAAACGTCTAATATGCCATTATACATCTACATACAACAATACATTGACTTTGGTACATAGCTTCATAAAAAGTTTTTTTTTTAAATTATGCAATGTCTCATAAATAAGAATAAACAAATTATCACACTGTGTGTAATTACTTTAATATCACAAAATATTTTTGCAACAATACATTGACTTTGGTACATACAATATAAATTAATTTACATCAGTAGTATAAACAAACAATATAAATATATTTTTTTAAAATGGTAATTTTTTTATTACATACTAACTAATAATAATATCTAACAACTATTTCTGTGTAAGAAACTATTTATCAAAAGAATTATTTATCGTTGCCGCTTTGCACGGAAACGTCTAATATGCCATTATACATCTACATACAACAATACATTGACTTTGGTACATAGCTTCATAATTTTTTTTTTAAATTATGCAATGTCTCATAAATAAGAATAAACAAATTATCACAGTGTGTAATTACTCTAATATGCCATTATACATCTACATATAGGGGTGTTCATAACCGGATATCCGAAATTTCGGATAGTTGATTTTTGGTATACGATTCGGTATCCGAAATTTCGGATACCAAAACGAATATCCGAAAATTTGTAATTTTGTTCAAATTTGAAAATTTTATATTAGAAAAACATATTTTTAAAATAGAAAGGCATATGAAGTAATATATGTATCTAATTAAGGGTATTATGAATATGTTTTAGTTACTAACATTCATATTATAAGACATATGTGATTAAAATAACATATAATGTATAAACTAAAATCAAAATTTTCGGATATCGGATATCCGAATTATCCGAAAAATCTGAAAAACACTATCCAATTCCGATTCCGAAAAATCGGATATCCGAAATTTCGGATATTCGATTTTTCGGATAATTCGGATTCGGAATTTCGGATACGGATATTTTTGAACACCCCTATCTACATACAACAATACATTGACTTTGGTACATAGCTTCATAAAAAGTTTTTTTTAAAATTATGCAATGTCTCATAAATAAGAATAAACAAATTATCACAGTGTGTAATTACTTTAATATCACAAAATATTTTAGCAATTCTTAATAGTTTATTAATGAGATAATAATAATAATTATACTAAACAAACATTTCTGACAACGAGAAAACGTAACGATTGTAAGATTTTAAATTCAAATGTTGAGATGATTGATAAGATACAAAGCATTGCTACTCCGCCTTGCAATACTCACAATACTGCTCCTGATCTTCTTCTTCACCGCTGGACTGACTTTTTGGTCGGAAAATTCATCAATGCAGGTGTACACATCGGTGATGGCGGCACTGGTCCAGGTCTTTGCATTGGAAATCGCGAATCTCTTGTTAACAGAGGAACCAAGGCTAGAAACTTCTTTCAGGGAGTTGGTAATTTCATCAATGGAGTCCTTGAGCTCTTCGATGCAGTCTTTGAGGATGGCGGCGTCGCCCTTGCTGATATTCTTGCTCTTGGCTAATTTGGAGACGGCGGAGCGGGTGGCAGATGCGGATTTGACGGTGGCGGAGAGGGCTTGTTTCACCAGTCTAATGGGGTTTGATTTGACGGAGTTGGCATAAGGGAGGAGGGAGGTCAAGCAGACGGATGGGTAAATGGTGGCGTTGCATGAGGTTTTGACAAAATTGGTGTAGGCTTGGGTGGTGGTACTGGTGGTGGATGACTGTGGATTCGCAGCCATTGACATTGCCATTGCCGTGGCTATGAAAGTAAGAAAGAAAAGCGAGAAGAAGTTGGCGTGTTCCATTGCTGGTTGTTCGGGTGATGATGAATTGATGATATTGAATTCTTAGAGATTTGTTGCTAAATTTATAGGGAGTTTTCCCAGGGGATTTGAATAAATATATTTTTCAAGATTAATTAGATAAAAACATTTTAATACTATCTATCTGTCTTCACATAAAAAACTTATTATCATTAAATATTTAATATAACTTTTTTTTATTAAATTATATATCTATTAAATGTATTTATAACATAAGAAAACTATAGAATAAAAAAATGTATCAATGAGTAAAAAGTCAACATATTAATTTGAAGTACTTTCCATGCAGTTAATTTAATTTTAAATTTTAACATTCTCTTAATTTTAAATTTTAACATTCTCATTGCAAATAATAGGGTTGTTCACTATTTGGATAAAACCGAATTGTCCAATTGGACAATTTGGATTTGACTATTTGGTTCGGATATTCGGATTTTTGGATTGGTTTTCAACAAAACCGAATTATTATTTTGGATTTCAGATTGGTTTTGGTTTATAAAATAAGAACCAAATACTCCAAAAAAAAACCGAACAAACGTTTATTATTTATTTATTTATAATATATATCTATAGTTATCTATTAATTTTGTAATTTATTTTTCAAATAGGTTCAAAACATTTCACCCGATAAAAAAATATCAACATGTATTATCTCTCAAAAGTTTTCTATCTATAAAATATATAACTATAATATATCTTCTTAATAGTTGTTTATAAATTTCAAATCACAATTAAATAATTTTTTTTCGCTTCTTGTGTAAAATTGGATAATATTATAATTATATGTCGTTTTAAAATATTTCGGTTTTTGAAAACCGAATTATAAAAACCGATCCAACCGAATTGTAATTGGATCAGATCGGAACGGATTTGAATTTAGTTTGGACTATTCGTATCCATGTTTTGAAAACCGAAATCAATTTGGATTCACTTGATTGGATCGGATCAAACCAATCCATCCAAACGAACACTCCTAGCAAATAATCATTTATAAATATTGTATTTTAATAACTTCAAAATAAGGGATAATGACTTAGAATTGTAATATATTTTTCGATTTGTACACATTTGATCACTGAGTTTTTTTTTCGTCCACATTACCCTTTCAATTTGTTAAACTGTACACATTCAGTACTTATGACCGATTACTCCAGGTTAGCCGGGAAAAATGACTTAATAGGGTAATATATTTCTCATTTTGTACACATTTAGTCCTTAATATTTTTGTACATATTTAGTCCTTAATATTTTTTGTTTCAAAATAAGTCATTTTGTTTTTGTACACATTTAGTACTTATTAATGTTTTCTTTAAGTTTTTCTCACGACATCTTATGTGAGACAATCATTTACGAAGTGTGTGGTGCTGTTGATGTTTATGTTTATGTGTAATGTCTCATTTTCACAACCAAAAATTTTCATTTTTAAATAAGGCAAAACTCCCTAATTCTAAATCCATTATTAAGAAAAAATGTTTATTCCAAAATATATTTATCGAAAATCAGAGTAATATAAGAAATCATTCATAAGTACCGAATGAATACAAAAACAAAAATGACTTATTTTGCAACCAAAAAAAATAATATTAAAGACTAAATGTGTACAAAAATATTAAGGACTAAATGTGTAAAAAGTGAGAAATATATTACCATATTAAGTCATATTTACCGGCTAACCTAGAGTAGCCGGTCATAAGGACTAAATGTGTACATTTTAACAAGTTGAAGGACTAAATATAGACGAAAAAACTTAGTGACTAAATGTGTACAAATCGAAAAATATATTACCCTTTTAAGTCATTATCCCCAAAATGAATGAAAAACTTAAAAAACAATATATCAAGGCTGGTTTTTTTTTTTGTTGAAAACCCGAATCTTCACAATTTGTTCGGTTTTTTACTATAAGATTATGAAAAGTCAAATCCAGCCCAAAGCCTAAATGATGTCATCTTATATATTGAATACTAGGTGTGAGACTCATGTACTACACGAATTTTTTTTAAATAATAATATAAAAAGTTGTAAGCATTACGTATATTTTACAATGCCAAGAATATTGAAATTTGTATCACGATCTTGTATTCTTGTGAAATCCTTTCCTTCAACATTATGTAATTTTCGAATTATTAATAGAGTTTAGTTGTGAAATGGGCTAACATATGCATATTATCATTAGAATAAAAAAGAAAGAAATAAAGGTTTGTTGAGCAATTAGTATGAGAGTTTAATATAATTAAATATCTTACATATATAAACTATATATTCAACTCCGTAATTTTTAATTTAAGAAAACTAAAAAAAATGACATGTAGAAAATAAAAAATAAATCCATATATATTATCTAAGAAAATTACATGTGACAAATACATGGAGAACATGGCATGTGGCAAAAATCACTTTCATTTATTAGGTTAGAAGATATGAGTGGTAGTCACTGGTTTAAATCCAGTGGATTTTAATGGAACCTATCCAATCTAATAATCTATTGAAGGTTGGATTTTGTCAACCGATCTGATCCAATTCGTTATCTGTGTAACACCCGGAATCCAAAAGACCAAGAAAGGAAAGAAAAACCCTAATTGAGAGGGCTACTCGTCGAGTCCAAGGGGATAATTTGACGAGTAGAGGCGGATTTTGGGTTCTTGATCGTGAAGTTGTAGGCAATGAGGAGTTGCTAGCAGCGTAAGGTTTCTCGTCACCTTTTCGTGGATATAAAGTTCGTCGGAAACGGACTAAGAACGAAGAAGTTATAGCACTTTGAAGTTATTGACAATATTGGTCCCTAATGGAAATGTTTGACAACTAAGTACCATGCATGCACGGTGGTAGGCGTGAAGGTACGCCCAGCGTAAGCTGGGTTACGCCCAGCATATAAGGCCATATGGACGCGGGTGCGGAGAGGCGTACGCCCAGCGTACGAGAAGTACGCCCAACGTACGCTCAGAGTCCCTAAACCCTAATTTTTAGGGTATGTCACTATATAAAGAACATAATACCCTAGATATCAGCTTCCCTCTTATCCTTAGACAGCCACCACGAAACCCTAAACCTCCCTTACGTGTCCTTGGAGCTTTGGAGGCCATTAGAGAGCATTTTGGTGTTGTGAAGCCATTTTCCAAGCAAGTGAAGAGCATAGCAAGGTGGTAGATCAAAGGAGAAGCGGTAGATCCGAGATTGTGGTTCCCTTATAGATCACCTTGAGGTATAAAGCCTTGAACTTTCCTCAAGTATGCTTAGATCTAGTGTTGTATGGTTTTGGAGTATTTTTGGTCCCAAGAATAGAGCTTTAAGGTTCAAATCCGACTCATATGCTTAGAGTTGCCACTCTCTGTGCTAAATGAGTCCCTAAGGTAGAAAGTTGCCATCTTGAATGTCTTAATGGGTTCATGCATGAGATCTATCCTTTTCCATGGAAGTTTGATGTCACATTTCAAGTTTGGGCTCATTTGGTGGGTTGCAAGCCACCAAGTAATCGACTTTATGGATTAAGACGTTGAAAAGGACTAGGATCTGTGATTGTAGCTTCTGGATTAGAGTATTAAGCACTTAATGGGAAAAGTGATTTAACGGAGAAGAACGTTGGGCGTACATGCAGGTACGCGCAGCGTACACACCATTCAACCAATACGCTTAGCGTACAGAGGAGTACGCCTCGCGTACTCAACAGATATGGGCTTGACGTGTTTTGGGCCTGGGATTCGGCCGTACTTTGGGTCTTTGGGCCTTAGTGAGCCATCTGAAGTCAGATGATTTGGGCCAAGAATATGTTTGGGCTTAGGGTAAGGCCCATTAGAGGGATTGGGCCCAATTTAACAAATTGGGACATTAGTGGGCTTGGAAAGCCTACCTAGTGTTGGACCTTTTTATATTATGGTTTTGGGCCTTAGATATGGACCAAATTGGACTAGGGGTAAAATGGTCATTTTACCCTAAGGAGGATTATTGATAGCTCGGGGAGCCAAAGGAGTAGCAGTTCGGAGAATTGCCGAATAGCACCCGGAAGAGTATCAGCGGGACTTCACCAGTGCAAGGTGAGTCTCCTCACTATGTGTATGGGTCTAAAGCCACAATGCCGGCCCATTTAGTTTATGCAGAGTAGGAAGACCCGGGGGTAACCCTAGGCATTGTATGCTAGTATGTTATTCCGGATCAAGGTCTGATGCCGGGTGGTTCCAGAGGAAGGTTTATATGTATGTTATGTTATTCTGGATCAAGGTCCGATGTCGGGGCAAGCCCGAGGAATGTTTATATGTTAGATTATACTTGTTGTCTGTATGATACTTGTATGTGCCTGGTAGGGAGGTAAGTGTGGGCGAGGTCCCGTATCTGACCACTAGCTGAGTATGGACGGGGTTCCGTATCTCATTATTAGCAGAGCATGGGCGGGGCCCGAGATAGGAGAAAGGTGAGTGTGGGCGGGGGCTCGTATCTCACTACCAGCAGGAGCATGGACAGGGTTCCATGACTCATCAGTAGCAGAACAGGGGCGGGGCCCAAGTTAGGCGAGGCCTTAGAACAGGAATACAGTAGAGTATGTTTGCTTTATGTGCTAATATGTTTATGTGATTGTATATGTATAGCGGGTGGGGCCCGGAGACAGGCGAGGCCTAAGAGAAACAAATCTGTATACCGAGCGGGGCTTGATGCCAGACGACGCCTGATGCCGGGCGGGGCCCGATGCCGAAGCGAGTCCGATGTCGGACAAGTCCCGATGCAGCGGGCGGGGGCCCAGTATGTGGTTATGTGTATGGTATGTGGTAGGTTGGGGAACTCACTAAGCTTCGTACTTACGATTTTTAGTTTTGGTTTCAGGTACTTCCGGTAGCCAATTATCCTAATGACTTTGCGGAATATAGCCAAAAAAAATCGAAATTACAAAAATGGCCATGAAAATCGCAGATGGGAATGATCCATCTACGATTTGCACATTCCATCTGCGAATGTACAAGTACCTAAAGCACAACTGTGCTTTAGGTACTTGTACA